TGGGATTCAGATAACACACACACAGCAATCATCTGCTCTTACAATCAGCCCCGGACACAGAGCTTAAGTTTCCAAAATGATAGCTTCCATCAAATGATTATTTCTGGAAGAGCCAGTATCCCTTTCTAAGTGTACCACATCAGAAACCTCATAAAGGAGAAAATTCAGCTGGGTTTTTAAATGGAAAGTTGTCATTATCTTGCAAGCAACTTTGCATGTTTTTGTAGTCAGTCTGGGCAGCCAGGAACTAGGGTCAAGTGAGAACCTTCAGCAGAGCTGAAAACTCTCATCAAGATTCTGCCGTAGTTCTTTCGGGAGATTGACTCTGCTCCGTTGATTTCAGTTAATCACAGCTGGAGACAAGGCCTTGGGAGAAGGGGCCATCCATTCTGTGATCTCCAATTAATGAATGAAATGAGAAAACAGAGAATTTTGTAGGCAACAAAAGTGAGGGCAGAGTATAAATTTAGAGGGGTTTGAGTTAGTGAGATTTTGCTGGAATTTAGTTATTTTTTCCATCTGTAACCAAAATGATGGGAGGAGAGCCTTTGGGAGCAGGTAGGATGGGGTGGATGATGCAAACCATTCTGCAAGCACCTTGCGTTCTGTAAGGTAGATTGTGTTTGCATCTTGGACTGTGTCGTTCTTTGGATAATGATGATAATAATAGTAGCACATATGTGGGAAATTTAAATTAATAAAGCAGCTTTGAGGTAAGGGTTTAAGAAGACACTCATTGTTAGTCATGCTGTTCACTTCCAACCAGGGAAGCTGGTTAGTCTAGGCAGCTCCTCTCAGGCGAAGGGGCTGAACAGGAAGGCAGAAGGGAGCAGCTGGCCCTTGGTCACCCAGCTCCAGCTGTGGCCCTCACCTGACAGGGCAGAGGGCAGAGCCAGGATGAGACTGAGGCATATGGAAAACCGAGGCTGGGCTATGTGTACCTCTGGGATAGGCAGCACTCCTCTCTCTGGCCTCACTCTATGCACACTTCCCCTCACCAACCCTTTAGCACATAGAGCAGTCTTTTAAAAGCATAAGTCAGATCCTTTCACTCTTTTGTTTAAAACTTTCCCATTGCGCATGGACACTTGAAAGCTTTGCATTCTCCTTGTTTCTTCAGTTTATGCCCCACCTCCTCCATAGAAGGGGGTCTGGAGAGGGGAATATAGTCAGTGTTCCCCCAGGCTCTGAAAGTAAGACAAAAGAGACCTGTGACCTCCTGACCTTTCTACATCCCATCTTGGTGCCCTCCGTAAACAGAGAACGCACCTAGAGGTCTGGGTTATATGGAACTGACACTGCTTCCTTGAAAATGGAATGTCTTAGGTCATTTAGTTCAACTCTTCCATTTTACAGATGAGGAAACTGAGACACAGAGGAGTGAAGTGACATCTTAAGTGAGTATCAGAGCTGGACCAGAACTCATGTTTCCTGACTCCTGGCCCAGTGACTTTGATGCCCTTGAATGATGGACAGCTTGGCAGATGGAAGGGCATTTAAGGCTGGTAGGGAAGAACGGCAGAGCCGGGCAAATGAGAGGGAGGCGAGGGAGCAGCTGGTAGGAAATGGAAAGGACATAATGAGTCAAAATATCCATTCCTGCTGATCATGTCCCCAGGACAAACATGACTCCAAAATGGTCTTTGACAGAGTCATAAACAGTAACACAGAAGAACCACATGGGTGGATTGACCCAACACCATGACATGTCATTGTGCCAATGGCTAAGCACCCCTATTTATTCAGACACTTAATCCAGCTCTTCAACCTTGCTCTTTCCTTCTAAGTCATTTGAGACCTGCTCTGCCTTTCCTCTCTTGTCATTTTGTTTGTGGCTGCAGTTTAGAATCTATCTGCTCATTGGTCTCAGATTTTTGGCTGAAGGAAAATGAAGATGATGATGATGATGAACTGGAGCAATGCGACTTGCCTGCAGTGCTTTGCTACTCCAACAAGGGGCTGTAGAGAAGAAGAGTGAGCAACTTCATGAGTCAACATTATATTTATCCCTCTATTGTGAGGAATACTGCCTCTGCTTCTTTTGTGAAGCATAATCATTTGTTAGTTTTAGTGAGGCATTTCTCTGCCCACTGAAAAGGAAACAAAAAGGCGTTTACTGTGCTGGTCTCTAGCATGTGAAATGTAAGCCATGGTCTTTTTTTGTTTGTATTGTTTTTAGCTTTCATTTATGATCATAGGATTAAGGGTGGAAGGGGACCTTGGAGTTCCGCCAGCCTCACCACCCCCTTCTGTGTAGGAAGCCTCTTCCCCACATCCCTGCCGGTGGTTCAGATCCCTTCCCTCTGCATCCCGACAGCGAGTTGCCTCCAACTCTGTCAAAACACTGACTTCATTTTGCTTTAAATTACAGTTATTTTGAGGACTTTTCTTAAGTCTCAGCTGTGAGACCCTGAGGGCAGGAATTCTGTCTCATTCTTCTTTGATCTCCCACAGCCCCCAACACAGAGCCTGGCCCGCTCTCCGTAAATATTTGAATGAGTGACAAGGTGTTAACAGCCTCCAGAGGCAGTTAGACATCTCTAATAGCTAGAGAGTTCTTCCTAAAAGTGAGCAGAAATACGCCTCCCTGTGTTTCCTGTGGGGAGAGAATGTAAACAGGTGGTGATGACAGAGGGCTGGGCATCCATAAGATGTCCATGAGGGACAGGCTAGTGCCCTGCTCTTACTGCTTTTCTTGCTTCCCATCTGGCCAAAGCACACAAGGGCTTTCACAGGACTGGAAAACCCAACGACCCTATATAGATCTGGATAAATGTGGGGGGGAGGGGGGGTTTCCAGGATTTGAATCCAGTTTGGAAGAACAGCTATATCAGACGCTGTCAACGTCCCACCCGAATCCCCTCAGCCCACCCTGAAGATCATCTGCAGATGGTTCCCATGTACAGTGACAGCTTCCTGGGTTTCTCTGCCCGTGGTCACTCTCTGACCTGGGGAGTGTGTGCTTGACCTGTGTGTCGGTCGGGCTAGAGATGCCAGGGAGTTACTCCAAGAGGGACCTTCAACCATGAGCCGTGAGACTTGGTGCATAAATACCCTAGATTCCTCACCTCCCAGAGGACAGCTCAGTGGTGTTTTCTACACAGTCTCTCCAAAGGTCTCAGTAGGAATGACACCTGGTCGCTCATGCAGCACCCCATCAATGAACACATCCTGTATTCATTTTCCTCCCTTTCCTCTTTGACTTCCTCACTCCCTTCCTGGGATCACACCCAAATTGATGATTTGCCCCAAATCCTTGTCTCAGGGTCTCTTTTAGTGGGAACCCAAAATAAGACAATGACACAAGCAGGAAATTTAGGGGAATTTCTAAATGTTATTCCCTTAGAAGACAGAACTATTGAAATCAGTACCTACCCTTTTCCTCCCTTTTCTTTCCCTTTATTTCTAAGCACAGAGTTGGTTTTTCTATCCATTTTATAAATAGAGTTTAATTTTAAGTAGAATTTATGTCCTAACTCAGAAGGCAGGGCTGGTAATAATTCTTGAATCTTTGAAGGATAGTTGTTTCAAATAACAAGAGTCATAATGTTCTAGCTTTATTAAAGAAATGGACTGCGTCAGAAAGGTCTCAGGCCAGACTAAAGAAAGAGATTACACGTGGGGGTCATTAGACATCAGGATGGATTTGTGTTCAAGCACTTCGCTTCACCTTTTAAACTTACACAGAGACCTTTTAAATGAAGAGAAACCTTATCAACCTGGCTCAGGTTTGGGATGGAGTACTTGATGTCGGGAACAGCGAAGATGAATGGGGACCACGAGGGAAGAGGGAAAGAAAAATAAAGAACCTTCATTAAACTGACCCAATATTAATGAACTACTCCTGAGCTAATAGAAGCAAGAGAAAATGCTGTAGCTGAAGAGTATTTATCATCATTTGAGGAGATTTGTAACAAAGAACGAAGGTGTGCAAGCCACCTGCCACCTAATCCTTCTTCGGGCAGACATTGTGTGGTTCAGAAAAGCTCCCCGTGGCTGCCACAATATTACTTGATTGTTTTGACACCTCAGACAGTTACTTGGAGGTAGCAGCTAAAAATAACCATGCTCAGTACTGTCTTGTGTTTGTGAGGTTTTTCTTTTGTCTTGTTCCTTCCTGGAGAGTTTTCTGCTGGCCTAGTAGGAAACTACACACATGTCAGGAATTTTTAATTGGCAATCAAAGATGGAAATGAGTGTAAACAAAACAAAAGATAAAAGGAGTCAGCAGGGCCAGGAGAGCCCCACCGATGATGCTTTTTAGGGGTACCCACAGATACTTTTTTGGGGTCAGGTGCAGAAATTTTCCTAAGTCAAGCAAGGATGAGAAAGGGCTCCACAGGTCTTATTTTTAGCATGGGAAAATGTTGTGACTTCAAATGTTCTCTTTATTTAAAGTGACTGATGGTCAGTGCCCCAGCTTTTTGCGGGGCTAGGGGGGAGGCGGGGATGGCAAAGTCTTCACTTGGTGATAGGAAGATGTGTAGTTATCCTGTGACATGTGCCCTTTGCCCTCTTTGATGAGTACCGCTGCCCTTTTGTAGGTAGCAGTGATGCCCTGGGTACAGCTCTGTCCTGAGCAAGAGAGGTGCCTTTGCCTCCTCCAGCTTTTGTCCTAGTCTGAGCCGTTGCTTCCAGAGAGTAATTTGAAGTACCATGCTGTCACCTTGGCATGAACTCATAAGATGATTGTGAGGATTACTAAGGGATTCCACGTATAGTGACTGCATTCATGTGCGTTAATAGTTGGCACAAAGACTATGCTGGTCCCCAGAATGAAAGGTCTCAGTTACTGTACCAGCTATCTATTGAAATTTTATGTCAGAAACAAAGACTTCTGTTGGGCCAAAAATGGATGCACGAGTGTGGCCTATACCAGCCTCTCTCATACTTTTTGTTTTGGGTAGCCTCCTTCCCCAAATACTCACCCACCGCAAAAGTACTCAATGGACGCCTCTTCAGCCTGCCCCACTAAGCACTCCCTCTCCTTTGCTTCCCAGAATGCCTATGTCAACATCAACCGCATCATGTCCGTGGCTTCCCGCCTCTCTGAGGCTGGTCATTATGCCTCACAGCAAATCAAGCAGATTTCCACGCAGCTGGACCAGGAGTGGAAGAGCTTTGCAGCTGCCCTGGACGAACGCAGCACCATCCTTGCCATGTCTGCGGTATTCCACCAGAAGGCTGAGCAGGTGAGGCCTAGGGAACTGCTGTGGCTGCTGTTGGTGGGAAGGGTGGATGGGCAGGGGAAGGGCAGGGTGGGTGTGCATACGCATTCGGTAGAGAGCCCCTCCTCTCTTTTTGAAACACTGAAGACCCTCTGAGTAGTTGCAGCAATACCCCATGTTCCACCACTTTCCTGGCCCCTGTGTACACAAAGAAACATTGGTAAGTCATGGGGGTTTGTTTAACATCCAAACAAGGAGGAACCCAGAGCCTGTTTATATTCTGCTTGGCAGTTTAGTGTTGTGTGTGCATGTGTGTGTTGACTCTCTGCTTAGTTTGTATTCCCTGAGCATAGACCAAAGAGGGGAAACTAAATTGATCACTGAGTGCTGAGAGCAGGGGGAAGCTAATTTTACGTGAAGCATTTGCTATGATAGTAATAATGTAATAATAATAAAATGGATGGAAATAATAATAATTTGTTGCCATTCTTTTACTGACATTGGCCAGTGACATTACTAACCCCTTTTACAGAGAGGAGCACTGAAACTTGGAGAGATTCAGTGAGCTGCCTAAGATCCAGTGGTTGGAGCTGCTCCAACCAGCTCATGGAGAGCTAACTTAAATTTTCAGGCATTTTGTGAGTTAGTTGTTAAACATAGCCATTACTTAAAATTAAATTATATAAACTTACATTAACTATGTCATATTAAAAGCAAAGGTAATAAATACTCAAAACCCATCGCTCCCAATTATTTTACTACATTTTACTATTACCTATGTTCTTGAGGTTATTTATATCTATTTATCTCTATGGTGCAAATACTATACAGTGTGGGCTACTGATCATCTCTTCCCAACTCCATATTCTGTGATGTCACGTGGGTAGCTTGAAATAGACCAAGGTGGACATTTTACACCATGGAAGTCAGCAAATGCTACAAACCAGGGCTTGATTTATTATTTCATTGATTGTTATAAAGTCTTAAGGCAATGAAGGAGAAAATATTTAAAAATGCAGACTAAACTTAAAAATGTGTCCTCTCTGTAGCTGTTACATTGTGAATAGCACACAAAATTGAGGAAATATTCTTCTGATATTCAAACACTATTATTCCATTCAGCAAAGAAATCACTCACATCACTGATGAAGGAGTAACGTTCTGACATGGGTCTTCAGATATTTTTCACTTTTGTCTTACACCTTAACATAAGTGAAAATATAACCAGCTTTTGTGTTGGAACTATATAAATTTGTCGTTTGCAGACAAAAGCATCCTGTGAGAATCAACTGGCTAAATGGAATTTATTATAAGGAGCATTTTATCTGTTATTATTCTTTGTAAATTATGTGCTATACATCCTTTATATCAGTGAAATTTTTAGTACACTGTATATATACTTTATGTGTACATACACACAAACATACATGCACATATATATGTATACATATATATGCTGGTTATTAAACATTTTCTAACACACAACTGTGAAAATCACACAATCTATGGGCAGCTAGGATTTCAACCTAGGTGTGTCTAACATTGAAGCCTGTGGTCTGAACCTTTAAATTTCTTTCTTTGTCTGACATTTGGGTAGCTCACAGATAACGGAGAGTCAGACACCAGATCATACTTTAAATCTCTCCCTCTGTTACCTCTCCCTCTGTTACATGGAAGGCACATGGGATAATTGAAAGAGTCTAGGCTTTGAGGCCAGACACATGTAAGTTCTAATCATTAACTCTTAGGCAAGTCACCTTACCATTCTGAGCTTGTTTCCTCATCAATGTGGGGACAGTCATAAAGCTCACAATGCTATTGTAAGGATTAGAGATGGGGCACATAAGGTGCCTAGTGTGCTTTTTAAGGGGTAGACATTATTACTGTAGGTATTTGTTCAACATGGTATCCTAGCATCTCTGTGTTTCCTCCACCTGTGTCTGTTTCCACCTGAGACCTTCCCAAAGAGTGAAATACCGTGTCATAAGTCAGGGGCAGCCCTACGTATTGAGAGGATTCTAGCCCTGTTTTTTTTTTTTAAGGGTGATGGTGGTAGTGAGTGATAGTGACTGGTTCATTCTTAGGGCCATGAGAATATTCGTGTCTAATCTCTTGTTCTTTCTTCAACCCTATTGCTTACACCCTTTATTCAGGGTTCATCAAGATTGTCAAGGGAGACTCAATGCTTCCCTCTCTGTCTCTTTGTCTCTGTCTCCTTGAGCTGACCATTTTGTGGGATCTGCTGTAGGACTCCTGTTAGAGTATTACAGAGAAGTCCCAAGGGCCTTGTAGAGGCGGTCCCCCTACGAATGTCAAGTTGCTTTCAGGTTCCTCTGTAAAATGGTTATTGGCAGAGCAAAGAATCTTCTGAGATGTGAGCAAGTACATGCAATCTGATACTGGATGACACCCAGCATTCTTCCAGAATTGTTAAGAGATGGCCTAATGTGATAAAGACATACAGAATGAAAAATCAGCCACAACAGCCAGCAGACTAGAACTCAAGCAGTTGCAGCAACTGGAGGAGTCAACTTTTATTGATGTTTCCTGACTTGGATTAGTTTGGATGAGAAGCAATTTTATTTGTATCTATTTTTTAATACAATTTCCTCAGGTATTACCAGTCCTTCAGGGAAACTCATAAACTATGCTTCTTTATAGCTGGGGGAAAAGAAACATGCCAAACAATGGATTTAAGGCAATTTTTTCAATGCACTTATCTAGGCAGCTCTTTATCGTCCTCATATGGGCTGTTCTAGGCAATGAGATAAAAAGGTATTTAGGCAATTAATTTAAATGGAGCTGTGCACCCAGGCGAGAGGAATCACAGACAGAACCACTCCATACTTTTGGGTGAAGAATTATTTGCATTTTAGAGGTGTATTTTTCCACTCAATAAATCCGAGTGATTTCAGTTAGCTCACCCTTTGAGCGTGGAGACCCATAGTCTTCCACAGTTGTTAATTTTAATTTTTAAATAATTTAATGTCTGTCAAGATCCATATCTGTGTATCACATCCCAGGAGCCACTGCCACTGTTGGCACAGTATAGCCTCTCCCCCTAAGCTGCCCCTCCCCTCACCCACGCCTAAGGCTACTGACCCAGCAGCGGGGTTCTTCTTGAGTGTTAATCCCCATCCCCTGTGGGAATGATCTCTGCAAGTTCCCTGGGGGTGTCTGAGGGTCATGTATGAGGTGTTCTTTGCTTCTCTTCACAACTCAGTGTACACACTAGAAAGGATGTGTGTGCAAACATCCCGTTATATTACACGCAGCCCCTCACATGTGCCCATGAGTGTGCACGGGACAAGAAGCTCTGACATATACACGTAATGTAGTGAGCTGTTTCCACACCTGTATTTTATAGTCAATGTGTGGATATAGCCTGTTGAACACACAGATGGCTCCCACCCCCAGCAGTTTCATAATAGCCATCTTTGTTTGTGGAAGCCACACTTCCTAAACAGGTACTGGGTCGGACTTCTTACATGGAGTTAGTATTTGTAGAATTAAAGTGAAAACTCCACTCTCTGCAGTGATCTCTGAAGGCCTCCAGAGGTCCTGATGCTTCTTCCCAAGGTGTCTGACCATCTCTACACCATCTGCCCATTGCCCACCCCCAGTGCTCCCACACTGACCCAGCTGGTATCTCCTTCCAGTTCCTGTCGGGAGTGGATGCCTGGTGCAAGATGTGCAGTGAAGGTGGCCTGCCGTCCGAGATGCAGGACCTGGAGCTGGCAATCCATCACCACCAGTCCTTGTATGAGCAGGTGACCCAGGCCTACACGGAGGTGAGAAATGAATAGGACACCCATGGGTCCTGGGCATATGGATGGGTGGCAAGAGTACTGGCCTGATGCTGTGAAATATCCTTGGTGGAACTGAAAAGAAAAGAGGCCATTTTTCTCTCTTTGGAGACATCTTTAAGGTCCTTGATCTGTGAATGACAGCCAGGAAGCAGAAAAGATGCGGTCATCAACAGGCACTACCTTGGTGTGCATGCACACAGACACACGCCCCCCTACACCTGTCTCATCCTATGGTGAAGATCGGACTGTCTCCTCTGAGGGAGGAATATAAGAAAGCAGCCCTGTGCTCCTCTGCAGTTTGCTGTTTGGCTGGCGTGTTCACACTAGCCCTACTACCCCTTTTATGAAGCAGCTCATCAAAAATTACTAATTTTCTCACTAGAAGGTCCAGAGGAAAATACACCACCGGGTAGAGACGGTGTTTGCAGGAGCGAGAGGCTGCCATGGAAATGCAGACATTCTAAAAGACCCTTCCACTGAAAAAAATCAAAGGCTGGGAGCATGGTACCAAGTTGAGAACAGGAAAAATTGTCTTGACGTTCCTTTCAAGGTGAAAGGAGAGGGGCACATAGGTGTATCGGTGTGAACATAATGCGAGCAAGTGGTTCACTAACCACTTACTTAAGTGGCAAGAATTCTGAGGGAGAGATGTGAGGGATGTAAAGAGATGGGCTGGGGAAGGAAGCTGGGCAAGGAGGGGAGAGTGCATTCACATCCAGCCCGTGGCTTTCCTCTGGGGCAAAGTCAGAGCAGTGTTTGTCAGAGTGGGTTCCTGGACCACCTGCCTCAGGTGGTCTTGTTAGAGGTGTGCTTGTTAGAGGCTCAGGTTCCTGGGTTCCATCTCAGACTGGTAATCAGAGTGTTAAGTAGGACCTGGAAACTACATTTTAATTAATATCACCCCAGGTGAATTTGGTGCATGTTGAAGTCAAAGAACCAAGGGTGAGAGTGAGGGATTTTGCCACAGTCAAACTGAGTTTGAATCCTGGCTCTCCTTACCAGCTGTGTGACCTCAGGCAAGGTACTTACCCACTCTAAGCCTCAGTTTTTTCTTCTGTGAAATGAAGGTGATAACACCTGCTTGTAGTTTGAAGGGTTATAAAGATAATGCCTGTAATGCACTTGGCCCAGTGCCTGACAGTAATAATTGCTAAAAAATCGTAACAGCTTTGTCATTATAGGAGGCAGAGAGGAGGGCTTGTGAGCCAAATATGATCTCATCAGCTCTGATCCGAGGCTTTCTCTTATACGAGAATTGTACCTCTGTCCCTAGGTCAAGAGTCTCTAAATTTATTCCTTGTAAAATACAAAAATAGAAAGTACAAATGAGATTAGTATTATAGTAACACACTTCACACTTGAGGGTGTGAGTGTTATTATATAGAACGACAGCATTCTCCCAATTTGTTCTCAGGTCCGAGCATTGTGGGGTGTAGACGTTCGCTCCAAGCCCACTTCAGAGGTCAGTGGGCTGCCCCTGCCTCCTACAGATGTGGACTGAGGCACAGGACTGGAACCCGTGTTCCCATGGATTTCAGGACTTGGCCCTCCATCTCTAATCACCCTGCTCTGGACAAAAGACAGCATTTACTCAGAATTCCCTGAAGAGAGCTCTCCTGGGTTTGACCGTAGGATATTTGTCTTATTCACGTCTCTGGAGGGCGTTTCCTCTGTATTATTTATAAGGTTCTTCATTGCCCCCTACCCTGGCAATACATCATGGAGGCAGACATGGTGGGATGGGGTAGATAGTGGTGGTCACCTGAATTGGCCATATTCCTCCAGCCAGGTTTCCTCTCCTGTGTCAGCTGCACTCTCCATCGGCACTCTTCTTAATAATGCCCCAGCCCCACACGCGTTTCTGTTGCCCCATGAGGAGAGGGAGTGACAGTCACCTCTGTGTTCCAGAACCCCCAGCCAAGCTATTATCAGGACGTGAAGGTGGGGTGAGGGGAGGCTGTGAGCCCAGCAAACAACTCCCCATTCATCATCATAAGGCTGGAGGTGGGAGCACACCTCCTTCCCCATCTTGCTGGAAGGAAAAGACCATTTCAACTCCAAACCAACTTTGATTTCATTGTTGACCAAATAATTTGAGGTCTTAAAATTCCTATCAATTCCCTAGTCACCACTGTTTTAAATTGGAAAGATACATGTTCTACTGGGTACTCTGCCAAGCACTGGAGGGCCACAGATGTTGATAAGATGATGCCACTTTCCAGAAATACTGGTGCCTGTAATTGCACCAGGATTCCAATGAGGAAGGACAGAGAATGTCCCCCTACTGTCAGCACTGAGGGTGAGTGTTGGGGAACCCAGGATCATGGTTGTTGTGTCCACAATCTAAGGGTCCCTCCCTTACTCTGCACGTTCTGGAAAGATGGGGATGTTACCACTTTCAGGAGAAAAAAAGGGGTTGTATAGAAGGAGAGCAAAAGAAGGATAAATATGAAAGAAAGGAAATAAGACAGGAGAGAGTGAGGATGATGATAACACGGATAGAATTGGTAGCCAAAACTACATGCCAGGCCCTATTCTAAGGGGTCTATGTGTGTTAACTCATTTAATCATCACCACAACTCTAGGAGGCATAAACCATTACTATTCCTATTTTACGGACAAGGAAACTGAGGCCCAGAGAGGTTGAGTAACTTGCCTCTGGTCGCCCATCTAGAAGTTTAGAGCAGGTCGAGGAAGGTGAAGAAGAAAGAGGGAGAGAGGTTTATGGTTCTGACACATGTTCAGCTTCATTTCTGAACAGAAGTTCTGCTGCCTGACCTGGTTAGTGAGTCAGTCAAAATGTTTATCATGTACCATATGCCAGGCACTGTTCTAGACATGGGGAAAGATGAACAGGGCAGAGTTCCTGCCCTTGTGAGGCTAAAATTCACAGGAGAAAGAGACTTTGATTCAGGAGCCTCACAGACAACTGGCTGCTGACCTGGCAGCTCCTCTCCCCCAGGATTCCGGGATGCCCTGCCCTCCCCTGGGCTGCGAGCTGGGCACCAGGGCAGCTCTGGCTGGCACATCTTTGGTTGTCATGGGTCTGGGTAGGATTGAGATTCTCAGCCTCAAATCAGGGGACCCCTGGACAGTCTCTCCTTGCCTTTCTGTGCCCTGCGTGCATCTCTACTCCCTTGACTGGACCTTCTTTCCTTCTTGCAGGTCAGCCAGGATGGCAAAGCACTGCTGGATGTGCTGCAGCGTCCCCTGAGTCCTGGGAATTCTGAGTCCCTCACAGCCACAGCCAACTACTCCAAGGCAGTGCACCAGGTGCTGGATGTGGTGCACGAGGTGCTGCACCACCAGCGGCGGCTCGAGAGCATCTGGCAGCACCGCAAGGTGCGGCTCCACCAGCGGCTGCAGCTCTGTGTCTTCCAGCAGGACGTCCAGCAGGTAACAAGCTGCTTCCCCGCATCTGGCATCCATCCCAGGGAGGCAGTCCCGACCTAGGTGATCAGGCCTGGGGACACCTGATTTATGGAAGGAAGAGGCAGTTCAGCCCCAGCTGCACCCTCCCCAATACCATCTCGACTTGTTAACTGCAGTCATGTGACATAGCTTTCCTGAGGGGAGAGCTTGACCCTCACTGAGGCATGAGCTTTCTGGACAACTTCAGGGTCTGGGGGATTATCTGAGCTCTGTCAGGGTTGGCCCTCACATAAAATGAGCTCACTTCTCTATCAGGGATGCAGGTGGCCTGCCAGAGTTGGCCTGTGGTGGCATATAGGGACCTTAAAGGATTCTTTGGCAGGATTGTACTTGGGAAACCAGATTTAAAACATGGGCTATTGATGACTGTATGTTCCGTGGTTAGAGGTTATTTCTGGCTTAATCTGTCTTTTTGCATTATACCAGTCATAGCGTTTTCCTTTACCGGAAATAATAAAGAAATGGTTATGTTACTGACTATAAAAGGACAGTCTTGCCACAAATGCCCTTTTTGGATGAAATAACCCGTTATACTTTCTGTGTCTCTGAGTAGGCCCCTGGGATCTTTGCTCTGAGAACTGACACACTGGGGGAGGGGGTGCTAGTAGGGAGCTGGAGACTGAAGTTGAGGCTTAGCGTCATCTCCCTGGGGGTTCACCGTGAGAGGCTGGGATTGGGGCACTTGTCTTATCAGACTTTTCTGTGGCCACGGTGTAATTTCAAGATTATACGTATAAAAAGTGTTTCACTCTCCTTCCATACCTTCTGTGATTGACCAGGTGTAATCCAAAACTGTATGGAAATATACATGGAAAATTGACAGCCCACTGGACATGTCCGCCGACTATTGGTTCCCTTCACAGCTGTTGTTGTGGGGCCCTGGTGCTGGGTGTCCTGCGACAGAGGCAGGATGGAGGGATAGCGGGGCATCCTGTGACTGGCTGTGACACCCTCTGGGTACAGGGTCACTGTGCAGTCAGTCCCAGGACTAGGTGGGCCTTCAGGAGTGTCCTCCCTTCTTGGGCTGCCCTAACTCCCTTGCAGAGTCCCCCCACCCCTCACCCCCAGCTGGGGTAGTGATTGAGTCATCAGAGGCGACACCTCCGCCTCAGGAGAGACCGGCACTGCTTGTGTGCTGGCCCCAGCTCTGAAACCCTTGTGGGGCCTGCTGGGAATGGAGAAGCAAATGAATCAATTGCCTACTCCTGCCATCTGGAACTGTCCAGATAAATATATCATCCCTGAGCACAGGAGAGCACGGAGTCCGTCCGTGATTGAGACAAAGTGAGGTGCCAGCCTCCGGAGGCACACAGAGGGGGCGTTACTGTATCACTGAACTCTGAGTGACTCACAGAGATTATCTGGCTACAGATCGTGCAGCTTCCTTCTCTTTTCATGGCTGTTCTACTAGGATGGGCCCTGGAGAGGGGCAGCGGGGCTGTGAGGAGGGTGGGTGAAAGACCTCCCTAACAGGAGCGCGACATCCACACTTGGACTATCTGGGCACTGCAGTTACAGACTTTTCTGTGGCCACCATGACATCTACACTAAAGCTAGGAAAAAGTGTAGTAAAACTACACCGGTGGCTATTCTACGTCATGCTCTTAAAAATAAGAGCATTTCTAGAATTAAGACCCTATCAATTCATCTCTACTGTAGAAATCACATTGTTGGTACTGAAGAAAAACAAGCAGATTATGAAGTGGATGTGATGAGGTTTGAAATTTTCAAACTGAATTCCCCAGAATGGTTAATTTCCTTGTACTTTTCAGAATGTATGAATATGACTTCTGAAACACGACTTCCTTCACCCAGTGTCCCACTTGCTCGCTCTCTCTCTCACCATGTATTTGACACTGGGACAGATGCTCAAAGAAAAATGTGAAAAACAAGAGCTACCAAACCTGGTGATGGGTCTCAAATGCTTCCCTGACACCCAAACCACCATTAGTGCCCGACAGGTGTCTGAGCTTCAGAAGGCTGCTGGATGTAATCCACTCAAGGGTCAGAGGGAAAGACTTGGACTTTGGTCTTCTGACTCCAAGAAACGTTATACGTTTATTGTTTTTGATTTTGCATGTTTCATCTCTTCTATTCCGGTATCTCCTTGAGAGTAGAAACCATGGCTTCTTCCTCCCTCTGCACCTTACGGCTCTTAGCTGTGTCTGGTATGAAGCTGGGGTTCTCTTTGTATTTGCTGGCTTGAGCTGAAGTTATCATTGGAGGACCCCCAATTTCTGCTTCTGTTAAGGGAACGCCATTTATCCCTCCATCCCAATCCATCCAGTAGTTGCCAGTGAGTAGCTGGAGCCTGCGTACAGGAATTATGATGTGAAAGTCTTGAGGGTCCCAGATATTTACAACCCAGGCAGAGGACTTAGGGACATACCCTCAGTGCTCACCGAGTATCCCAGTGCTCATTAGTTAGTCAGCAAGCGTGGGCCTCTGCAGTGGGCCCAGCACTGTGAAGGTTCTGGTAAGATGCCTGGTTGATTAGAATGGCACAGACATACACATTTGAAAATAGAGAGGGCAGGTCTACCACAGCATGCCAGTCAGCGTGCAGGGTAATAGAGTATTGATGGAGCAGTTATAGGCAGAAGCGTGAGAAGTCAGAGTTGGTGTCTTGAAGAGGAGAGAATTGATTGAACCCTGTAATCTGGATCTAAGACTCCTGAGTACATTTGGGATCCAGAAAGGTTTACTCAGCAGCCTCAGTGGGAAGCTTGTGAGCGAGCATCAGAGGCTGGGGCAACATAGAACTTAGATAAGAGCATGGCTCTGGAGTCAGGCGGCCTGGGTTTCAGCCCCACTCTGACAAGTCTTGGCTGTATGACCTTGGTCAAGTCGCCCCACCTCTGGTGCCTCAGTTTCCTCACCTCTAAAATAGAAATGTCATAGTATCTACCTCATTGGACTGAATGAGATACAGGTACAGGGCTTAGCACGCTGCCTGCCTAGCATGGAGTGCATCCTCCATCAGTTGTCTGGGTTGGGTCACATCATCTTTGAGTGGTACTCAGGCGCCCCCTGGTGCTTGTGCTGTTGGGCACCCCAGCATGATTCTCCTGTTTTACAGTAGCAACTGCTTCGTGGGTCTTGGGTCGGCTGAGTTCCATTTCATTCAATGATAAAATCTCAGAGCTGTCAAGGACCTTGAAGAGCATCCAGTCTAAGTGACTATGTAGTCTAGGAAATTGAGGCCCAGAGATGTAAAGTAATTTGGCCATAACCACTGGCCATAACCAAGCAGCTAGTTAATGGTAGTGCCAGGACCAGAAGCTAAGTCTTCTGGTGCCCAGTCCAGGTCTCCTACAGAAAAGCCACACAAGAGAGGAGGCAGGGAGACAGAGAAAGACAGGAAGAGAGATGGGGAGCACACATGCATGTTACCTAGAGGGGGGAAAGACAGACAGACACATAGACATACCCCGAAACAGGGAAAGACAGACAGACAATGGGGGAAGAAGAGAAAGGAAGAGAGATTTAGAGACAGAGAGAGGAGAATCAGATGTACATGAGATGGGAGGAGAAAGAGAAGGAGGAAGGTGGGGGGAGGTGCAGAAGAGAAAGAAACAGGGACTCCTGCTAGTGGAGGGAGGGAGAGCGAGCCAGCCTCTGCCTGCCTGACTCCTTGCCCCGTTGCCATTTCTGGGGGTGGTCTTTGCCCAAGTAGGAATACTTTGCCCTTTAAGGGCCCAAAGCAGAGTAAAGCAGAGACATGAAAGCCAAAGATGGACTCCAGTGGAAAAGAGATTCCATTTAAATATCTGCAGCCAGAACTGGCCTGACAAAGCCATCCCTGTCGTAGCCCTCCCTTGGGTCTCAACGGCTTTCTCTTCCCTGCTGGCCTTGGAAGCAATGGAAATAAGTCTCTAAGGATCAAACTGGAACTTGGGTTCATTAAGCTGCAGAAAGGTGTGGGTAGGGCACACTGCCATAGTATTGCTACTGGAATAATTTTCAGTACTATTGTTTTTCCAGTTTAGAGTGGGACAGTACTGAGCAACAGCCAAGAAGGGCGCTCCGTGACGGCACCAGCCGATCTTCACCTTCTGTCTGTTATTCTCCTCTAACTCTTGTGGCTTCCCCTGGATGTAAAGGACTACTTCCAAGCCCAGATAGACCTGACTTTGTGGTGAGAGGAACAAGAGAAGCTAGGTTCTTGATCTTGCTGGAAGACGCAAATTCCATTCCATTTTCTCATAGCCAGAGCAACTGTTTTGAGCACTCTCTGCGGGCCATCTTGTTCTGCCTCTCCTTCTTCTTCTCCCTCTATTTTTGGCAAGAATAAATTGATGAAGTGTTTTGGAACACCTACTATGTACAAGGCCCTGGGCTAGGAGTAGAGGTCTCTGACCTGAGAGAAGACAAATACACCTAAGGATATATGAATGGCACAAGTCTGTGTTCAAGGCCAATGGGTTGGTGGAGTCAGAACAGGAAAGGTTCCCTGTGATTGGGGTGGGATTTGCACTGGCCCTTGGAGCTCAGGCAGAGGAGAGGAGGATGATGTTCCTGGGGAAGTCCAGGAAGCAGAGAGCTAAGGTACAGCCAGGGGACAGGGAAGAGGAAGTCTACCTGGGTGCTGCTCCTGGCAGCAAAAGTAGGAAGTAAGGCTGGAAGGCGTAAGGGTGGTCTCGGTGTGGGTGGGACAGTGACACATTTGAGGATACCTTGCTCTCCGTTAAAAACAATGTCTCTGTTTTTCAGCAGTCCAGTCAGGTGAGCTAGTGAGAGGCAGTGATGGCAGGATTTATCTGGCTCAGTGACTTTCCATTCTGAATGAATGTATTAATATTAAAGTCCATAGTTCTTGTACTACAAATGAATCTCACCTGTTTCTATCGGTTTTTCTGGAGCCTCACATGGAAAATTATAGCTCTTACTCTGTCAGCTCTTGCCTGCCAAAGAATGTGTAAAAAAGGATTTAAGAGTAATTTTTTTTCAACTCCAGATATTCA